CCAAGGGGCTGGACAGTGGCTGGACGGCACCTTCCTGAGTAGTACATCCTGAGTCACTGCCAGCACAAGCCCCCCTTGCAGCCACTGTGCCCTGCCTTCTAGCTCACCAAGGGAAGGGGGGTCTCTGGAGACGTAGCGCTGTGCTTCCCACAACACCTTGGATTCTGCCCAGCACATGCAGATACCACCAGGCAGGCTGCTGAGGATGCAGAACTATGTTTTTTTTAAACCTTCTTAGTTCTAGGTGAACATAGTACTACGTATATTTACAAGATGTGTAGCATTTCAGTATATGGATATGACATGCAACTCGCAAAGCCATCTTCCCAGACAGTCCCTGTCTGTTGAGGACATGTGATGGCTCTCTAGCTTTCACATCCAGTTAGTTGTTGACTCTGCCATGCTGTGGGCTGGCCCTCCCATCCTGCTGCACCCCGAGACCCAGTCTCAGGTAGACGGAAGCCAGTGTCCACACCTGTGGTTCCGAATCATCTAGACCTTCTGTGGGTTTGGCTCACCTGCTGCCCACTGCTTTTCTACAAAGTGTATCTAAGACTTCAGCTCCTCCACCTGGAAGAAAGGCACAGGGCCATAAATGAGTGGGGTGCAATTGCCATGTAATCCACATCCCATCCTCGCATAACTTAACTACATGAGATGGAAGGAAGCTGGTAGCAGGAGATTCTACTAGCTACCCCTGAGGTTCAGCTGGGAGGGGCATGAATAGTCCCCTCCTCCCAGTCCCACAGACCCTTGGGACCCAGGGCAGACTGTCTGGTGTGTCCTGCTAAGCCCGGGAGTGCCTTGTGATCAAGTGTGCAAGGCTTTGTGGCACTGGGCTTGGAGAGAGAATATGCTTTCAAACCGGTAGAACAAGGCCCTGAGTCTGACAAGAAGGAAGGACCCAAATTTACAAGGTCCTTGCTTCATGCTGGGACTCGAATTCGAGAGAAGAAAACAAAGTCCTCTGTGAGGCGACACTCACCATTATTTATAGCTCTGTGCCATCTGGGTCACCTGCCTGAGGATACGACATGCATGCAGGGGAGGGGTGAGGAACGGGGGCCCATCTGTCCATCCCTCCCTTTGTCCTCTCGTGAACAGCACACAGGCCAGGTCAGAGCCATGTTGGAAGGGAGAAGACATTGGGCACACAGCCCAAGGGCTCCAATCACCCAGACCCAACCCCGCTGTCCTGTGGTTTCACCTCCTGGAGGGCTCCAGCCTCCTTGAGTTGCCCACACTGTGCACCACAGTAAGGTGGGTAGGTCTGGCTGCTGTGGCTCTCGGGAGTTCTTGGGCCTCTCTCCTGGGCTATGTAGGAGACAGAATGTGAGCTGATCTGGGCCAGCTTCTCAGCCCTGTGTGACCCAAGCCAGTTACTCAAGCTCTCTGGTTAACAGTGGTGAGTGCCTCTGGGGGCTGTTTATACGGGTCAAACAAGGGGCCCATGTGTGCGATAGGCCAAGGGACACTGCACATGCCCACAGTCACCTGACTGTCCTGCAGCCATGGTGTGGGGACATCAAGGAAGCCCTGCACATACTGTGTGTCCCCGCAAGTGAGGCTCCCACCCCAACCCCCACCTGTAGCATTGTGAGGCCACAGAACAACCGAAGCCTTCTTTAAATGTCATCTTAGAGAAAGAAGCTAAAGTGGATAAATCCAAAGCAAGTGGATGGACACTGAGCTCTGCTGAAACATTGGCAACTGCTCAGCAGTAATGGAAACACATGCCTGGGCCTCATAGCAAGAGTGAGCCTTGGGCATCGAGTCCCAAGACAGAGGACAGCATGGAGGGGCAGAGACAGCAAAACCTGCTTCAGTCTGCAATGACAAAACCTGGACCAGGGCAGCAGGGTGGGCCCATGGCAAAGGGGAGCAGGGAGCACTGGAAGGGATGGGGTGTCCACTGAGGCTGGGCCAGGGTCCCTGATCAGTGCAGGTGGCCTGGGGTGGGAGTCTGGATTCACTGTGCAGTGGATGTTCCCCACAGAGCTGATTGCTTCTCAAACTCAATTTAGCAATGAGATATAATTAGAATATATAATAATAGCAGATATATAGTATTATGATATAGATATATAATAGATATAATTAGAATACGAAAACATGCGCCATCATCTGGACATGGAGGCCCATGAGGCTGAGAACATGGCTGCCCCCACTGTGCGCTGCACTGTTCAAGCAGTTGTATACCAGGGCCCTCGGGCTGTGTCACCTGCCAAAGTGCTCAGGTGCCACACTTTGTGCAGAAGCAGCTTCTGTCTTGTTTGGCAGCAGCCCCCTGGTCACACCAGGTGACGATGGCACTTGCATTGGTCTGTAGATGCTCTGGAGCCTGGCTTCCTGCCCACAGCCCTAGAATACCCGGGCACCTTAATCTGTGCTGGGCCCTCCTTTCCCACTGTGACTCCAGACCTCCTGGCTGCCCTCCCTCTCAGCTCCAGGCCACCCGGGGTGAAGTCCTCCCATAGGGAACACCTGCCACAACAGCAACTCATTCCCTTCTCTGATTTACCCAGCTCTGTACTGGGTCCACCAAATGGTGAGGCACCTGCAGGGCAGGAATTCTGTTGATTTGTTTGCTGTTCAGGTTGGTGTTGCATAGGTTCTCAGTAAACACTGCATATGTACATAAACAGATGGACAGACAGATGAATGGATCGATAGGACTCAAACTTGCAATACTGCTGCCTCAGACTACCTCAATACTGAGATTACAGGCCTGCACCATCACACTTGGTTGCCTGGCTCTCTTAAACCATTCTGTGATGCTGTTCAAAGCACTCAAGAGCCGATGCTCTGCAGTCAGGCATTTTCATGTCAGCTCCACTTTCTGTCCTTCTGGAATTCTGCTCTGACCTTGGAGGGGAGACTCTGCCCCAGACAGTACCTGGCCTCATGCACTAGGCCTTCTGGCAGGACTGCGTGGCCTCACCTGCAGCCAGAGCACCTGGGGATGGGACCCTGTTGAGTCACAGCAGGTGTGGGGTGGGAGAGACAGATGGGAGGGAGCAGTCGTGGGGCCTGTTCATCTCTCAAGATAGAGTATTAATTAGCATTCTCCTGGGCCATAAATCACAGCCTGGCAGCCTCTCCAGTTGCCATGACAGTGACCTCCATCCAGCCTCTGTTGGGGGGCCAAGAATCTGTGGTGGGGCAGGGAGGCCACCAGCAGCCTCCCTCGGGCTGCTGCAGGAGCAGAGCCATGAGGCCCAGGAGGGAGGCAGGCTGAGCAGAGGCCCAGGGCAAGGTGGCCTCCCCTTAGGCCCTTGGGCAGCTCCAGTCTGCACCCTGCCTCCTAGCCCCAACCCCCACCCCTCACTGCCTCCTTGGAAGAGGACCTACTGCAAAGCCCTGTCATAGTTGTGGGCGGCCTCTGTCAAGGTACTGGAGCAGGGACAGCAGCCATCTGGAAAGTACGGGTCCCTGCAGGTCCCATGTGCTTGCCAGGATTGAGGTGCTACTCAAGTCCCCAACAGTTCCCCGTCTGCCAGACAGGTTGCAGTATCACAGACTGCAATCAGGGCACCCCCGAACTTGGTACACTGGGCTCACGCCTGCCACCCAAGTCCTGGTGGACCCCCATTTCAAGTCCAGACCCCCTGTGTGGGACGAAGGGGTTCCTTCAGCTCAGCGACCCTCAGAAGCAATGACAGCAGTGTGAATGGACACTGGCACATGAGTGCTATGCCCAGCCCTGGACACAAATTCTCAGGATTGAGCCCTCCCTACCCTGAGCATCCCAGAGCCCTTCAACCCTAAGACTCCACAAATATGAGCCCTTGGTGCCTCCATGGCATCCTCCCTTGCTCTCCAGGCAAATTGGCAAGGATCCATTCCTTCAACCCCTCTGGTCAGTCTCCAGGCTGGTCTCCAGTCTGCCATACAGGGTGTGGGATAGGGTGACCAGGTCAGGTTGAGCCAGGATGGCAGCAACTGAGCTCTGAGCTCCGAGCTTGAGCCACAGGGTGGCTCCTGATGTGCTTCTCTGTAGGGTCAGAGCTCTAGGCCTCCTTCCTACCCATCCTGGCCCCTCGGGCAGATGCTGGCCGGAACTCAGCCCACAGGATGCAGAGGAAGCAAATCCTTCTCAACCCCAGCTGTACCACCTGGCCAGGTGAAGTTGTGAGGGGCAGCAGGATGACTAGCAGCCAGGCTGGGCCACAGGGTAGGCCTGTCACCTGCCTCCATGCCTTTCCTTCCTAGAAATGACAGTCACTGAGGCCACCTCACTGGACCGGGTTGCTGAGGTTGGGCACCCCGTGGACTTCCTGAATGGAAGACCCGAACCCGTGGACAGGTGGGGTCATCAGGTGTGCTGGGCCCCCGGCCCCAGCCCCCAGGACTGTGCTGTCTCAGGGCTGCTGGACCCTACAGAGAAGGACATCAGGAGCCATCCTGTGTCCATGGCCCATGAGGCAGGCCCTGACCTGGATCCTTCACCAGTGCTGAGAGGCTGCCTCAGCTGCACGTGGATGTGAGGAGACATCAGTGCCTCCTGTCACAGTCAGGGCTCCTACCATGTGACCTTGGCTGGTCAGAAGCCTCTCTGGCCTCCAGGGGTCTCAGTGGCACAGGCAGCTGGACTCCTGCACTCCTCTGCTTCTCCCCTCTTCAAGAACAGCTTTCTTCTTGGCATGGGGAAGCCGCTCCAGGGGGACCAGGAGGGTGGCCAGGCTGGCAGATTTGGCTGTCCCAGCCATAGCCCTGGGTCCCCTCTGCCTTGGAGTCAGGGCCCCCAGCTCACGCTGTGTGAACCATTCTCCTGAACTTGGTCTCCAGCTCAGTAACACAGGCTCTGGGTCCAGCTTCCTCTCTGGAATCCTGGTGAAGGGTGCAAGGTTCGTTGCGGGGTTCAGGCCTGGGCTCAGCTGGATGTGTTTCTCCCCAGGCAGTCACAGGAGACCCCTGATATCTGGTGGGTTCCATGACGGCAGCTGGGCTGGGGCCACTGTGCTGGTACCTGTGTCTTTCAGGTGCCGTCCCAGGAGAGCATGGCGCACAGCAGGTGGACGCCCTGGCTGCCTGTCCTTGTGGTAAGCGGCCCTGGTGCCCACTTGTGTGAACCCACTGGCACAGGCCACACCCTCCACCCACAGGGCCCCAGGGCTCTGGTCCTCAGCCTTGCAGCTTCAGTGTCCCCACAGTGAGGTAGGAACCCCAGTCAGACACAGCTGCCCACAGCCCACTGCCTGGATGCTGAGCCGTTGTCTAGACCCCTCCTGGGCGAGAGTGGGGACACACATTACAATGACCTATGTTCCAGGCACCTGCTGTTTAGAGGCTTAGGAGCAGGGCCACCTGGTCATGACCTTGAGAATGAATATGGGCAAAGAGATCCTGAAACAGCTGGACCACCTGTACCTGGACAGTGGTCAGGGTGGAGCTGTTCAGGTTGGGTGCTGGAGGGAGCTGGGTGGTCATCTCTGGTGACAGCCTGTGTGTGCCTGACATGGTACACATGAACTGCTGGGTCACTGTGTACATCCTGAGGTGTCGTGATCACGGTGGTTTTGCTTGGTGCAGGTGTCGCTGTTGCACTTGGCCGGTGCAGAGTACTCTAGCTGCGGTGAGGACGAGTTCTACAACCAGACCACTGGGCTGTGCCAGCTGTGCCCGCCTTGTGGGCCGGGCGAGGAGCCCTACATGGTAAGGGTGGACTGCAGGCTGGGCAAGACAGCTGCATGGGGCTGAGCACTGAGCACTTGCTCACAGCCCCACAGGTCCCCATGTCCGGGGGACGCCTTCCTGCTCTGACTCAAGGGTGTCAGGCCTTCAGAGTTCAATCCTGAGTGCCCACTTCCTTCTCCTGTGGGAAGGTATAGCCTCCAGGGATTGGGGTGCAGGAGGGGCTGAGAAAGTGGGTTCCAGGGCCAGCTTGTGGCTGAGACCGAGAAGTTGGCCCTGCGATAGAACAGGAACCGAGCTGGGTCTCTGCCCAGGCTGTCAGGGTCTGCATGCTCCTCACTCACCACCCTGACTGCTTCTCGGCCAGTCCTGTGGCTATGGCACCAAGGATGAGGACTACGGCTGTGTGCCCTGCCCTGCTGAGAAGTTCTCCAAAGGGGGTTACCAGATCTGCAGGCGTCACAAAGACTGTGAAGGCTTCTTCCGGGCCACTGTGCTGACACCGGGGGACATGGAGAATGATGCTGAGTGTGGGCCGTGCCTCCCTGGGTAAGTGTGGCCCTATGGGTACCTGCAGCAATGTGGATGGCATGGTCATTGTGGTGCCTGTTTTGTCCCATGTGGAGCACTGTCCAATCACAAGGGTGTCACCGTGCACAGCGGCACCAAGTGACTACCCAAGTGAAGCTACTAGGCCAAGTGCTCATAGTGAGATAACAGATGCGGAACACATCTTGGATGAAGGGGAAAATTAAACTTCTACATGAAGTATGGCATTTGGTATTTGTAATCTCTGGGAAATGTGAGGGTAAAAGCTACTCATGAAAACGTTTCCATCATGTAATGCCTACAATCTCACTGCACTGAGGCTATGTATCAGAAGTCTTCCTAATTGCAATTAGCCTGAAAAGCATGAAGAGTAAATCATCCTCTTTCCAGGCAGCACACATTGGCAAATTCTGCTCAGAACCAAGAAAGCACAGCCTGGCCTGTTGTGAATACTAAACCACCACTGCTGCTGCCTCCCGGTAGTGGTAATGGGGTATAATGCTTTGCAAATGCAAGTGTGCTGGTAGGGTAGTGGGTAGGGACAGAGGTGATGGAGGTGAGGAAGATGGTGATGGAGGCGATGATAGAAGTGGGAAGGGAGACACATGGAGATGACAGAGAGGTGATGGAGATGGAATGATGGTGATGGAGGTGATGACAAAGGTGTGGACGATGATAATAATGGAGGTATGAGTGAAGGTGTGAATGACAGGATTGGAGGTAATGAAGGAAATGAGGATGACAGTGATGGCGGTGATTATGATGGTGACGATGGAGGTGATGGAGGAGGTAATGATGGTGATGGAGGTAGGAAGATAGTAATGGAGGTGTTGATAGTGATGGAGGTGAAGGAGGCGGTGACCATGGAGGTGTTGATAGTGGTGTGATGGAGGTGCGATGGTACAGGTAATATGGAGGGATGGTAGTAATGAGTGATATGGATATCTGTAGTCATGGCACAGTGGTGTTGTGAACAGCACACTACACTTCGCAGTGTGCTTGTACAGATGTTGTCTCCCTAGGTCACTGTGTTGAATTTAGAGGAAGAAAAAAATAAGGTATACTCAAAAGTGTACACTAAGCAAGAGCCTAGAAGAAAGTATGTCAGAAAGACCCAATAACTTCAAAATAGAAAGTGAGTTAACCTTTTGCAGTGAGGACATACAAGAGGTGATCAAAAAATAATTTTTAAAATATTTTAAATGTATTACAATAAAAGAAACACTGCCATCATTCTCGCTCCAAATCCTCCCCTTGCTTTGAACACACTTGCCCCGTCATTCTTGCCACTTTCTGAAGCAGTTCTGGAAGTCCTCTTTCATGAGTGTCTTTATAAGGCGTGATCAAAAACACCATGAATGCTGCTGTCAAGTGCCAACAATAGAAAGGCGAACTGGTAAAAACATGGTGGTGTGTCCTCACTCACCCATTTTATTCACTGGCGCTATGCTACGCCTGCTTCTTCTCCAAAGACAAAATGACCATGAAAAGTCAATGTTATGAACTGATTCAGGACATCAAGGCAGCCAAGACAGCACAACAAAAGACACTTAGGAAAGAACACTTTGAGAATGGCTTCAGAAAGTGGCAAGAGCCAAGGGATAAATGTGTTTGAGGTAAGAGGGAGGAATTTGAGGGGGATTCATTGCAATGTGTCTTTTATATAATTTTTTATTTAAAGGCACACTGTATTTTTCTATCACACCTTGTGTATTTTAAAACTTAGTCCAATTTTGTCACTAAGAAGCATCCCCTTCTCTGGTGTCCACCACCACCAGTCTACTGGTGACTCTGTCCCTGTTTTCTGTCTCAGCTCAGGCCTGTCTCCTGAGCCACAAACTCAGATGTCCAGCTATCTGTGGGCACCTTCTTATCCCTGACACAAGTATGACCCAAACGTATCTGTCAGGTGAGTTCACAGAGCAGGAGAACCTTATCCCAGAACCTTATCTTTCAGTATGAAGAGAGTACAAATAGGCAGGCATGGGACTATTCTCTTAGAGATTTGTGGTAAAAGAAGCTTTGTCACTGATGGCTTTGGTTCAGTTGCTGTGGCTTCAAGCCCCCCTGAGATGACAGAGCAGCCCCGCCACCCAGGAGCCACCAGGAAATGACTGTGTACAGACCTGTGTGGCCCCTGAATGACAGACATTCAGTAGACCTTGACAATAGACACCGGACTCAGTCTCTGAACGCATACACACTTCCTGAGTTTCATCTTGATTGATTCACTCATTAATTTTATTGGTGCAAACACAAGATCCAGGAAAGAAATGCAAAGCTCTGAGGATTAAGTGCAGGAAAGACACTCACTGTGCTCACCTGGAAGAAGATGAACCCTGTTTGCAAACCCTAAATGTATCTCCAGAGCCTGACTCGCACCCTAAGTAACAGAAGAGCTACTATGTTCAGTCCTGTGAACCTTCAGTCCAAGAGACCAGCAGGAGCCAAGGGCAGACATGTTCCCTCTCCTCTCTAAGGAGTGAGACCAAGAAGGCAGCTACCACCACAGTGTCCCAGACACCCAGGGAGCCCTCCTGGCTGGACAAGGGACCCAGGGTTCTAGGAGACCTCTGGAGGGAGGTCAGGCCAAGAAACAGGCAGAATTCTGGGAGGGGAACGCTGAACCCAGCTCGTGGTCCTGGGGCCTGACTGTCCTTGAAGTTGCAAAGAGGCCGGCCAAGGGTGGCAGGCCCAAAGCAAGCTGTCCCTGGAGACTGTGCCACTTGTGGCTGCCTCAAAGGACCTGGGCCAAGAGGCTGGCCATCAGCAGAACAGTAGGGTTCTTCCTAACTCTCTCTGTCTCCTGGCACAGCAGTCAGCTGGTCCCCACCTTCTAAACCAGGAAAGAGCATGGCCTCCCACCCTGCACAAGGAGGATGTGGTGTCCCATGGATATGGCCACTGCTCTGCTGGCTCCCTGACAAGGCCCTCCATGCACTCTCTATTTAAATCAATCCCTTCCATCCCCCAGTGAGCTCCAGGCGTAATGGGCAGCACTTGAGGGCCCTGTGTCCCAGGGGAAGATGATGGGGTGTTTTGGCAAGGGGCCTCATAAGCTCCATGAAAGGCTGTTTTCATCCCAAATCTCTGCGGTCTCCACCCTGATGTGATACAGATCAGCTCTGTTTGTTTCCGACCTGGACTGCACAGGCCTCCCCTGTGGTTTGGCAGGTTGGCTGCTCATTCTTTGCCTCTGAGCTGCCATGCATCCTGTGGCCTAGGCCAGGCTTAACAATAAGCAGCACTGAGGCTTTCCTGTGGGAGGGGCAGGTGTGGGAGGACAGGACAAGGGAAGATTTGTAGCCTCCCCAGAGTCTTGGGACCAGGCAGACAGGAGGCTCCACTAGTTTGCTCCCTCAGGCTGGCTCTACCTGGATCCCCAACTCTGGCCTAGAACCTGGCAGCTGGCAGCCATGGGTGGACCTTCGAGGTGCATGGCTAATAAAACAGAGGCTAGAAAGCAACCACAGAAAGTTCTGTATGTGCAAGAGATGTTGTCCCCTCCTGCATTGGAATCAGGGAAGGTGCCAACCTCAACTCCTTTCATTGAATTGACTTCTTATGGGGCAAATGGCACTTGTTTATGGGGACCAGGTAGAAGCCAGAGCTGGTGGACGGAATAGAGGCCGCATGTGAGGGTGGCCTGCAAGGACACAGCCACAGCAGCAGACCCCACCCACTGATGTGGCTATGGACCAGCAGCAGGAACATGGATGGGGTGAAGGCATCCAGCAGGGCTGTGGTGATGGTAATTGAGTCCTCTTCTGTACACATGTGCAGCCACACACACACACACAACGGGCAGTCCCACAGGAGCCTGCCGGCCTGAACCACTGGCTGCCTTTCAGGCTGTCTGGGCAGTCAGCTGTCCTCAGAGCTGGGCAGCTTCCCTCCTGACATCTGCAGCCTCACAGATGGTCTGGGGGATCTGGGTCCAGGTCTCATGGGCAGTGCTGCCAACAGTCCTGGAGCTATGGCTTCGTGGAGGTGACCCTGAAGGGCTTCCTCTTCTAGATGTCCACTTGGTGGCACCCAGATATTCTTGGGGTGACACTGACAAAGACAATGACACATACACACTAATAAATCCCTCAGGGTCAGAACTAAAAGACAGAGTGGGGATGTCAAAGAGGGCCAAGGTGGCCCAACACTGGAAAAAGATTGTCCACTCAGGACACAGAACCCTCAGAAACCCGAGGTCTGGGGCAGCAGGCTGGGTACAACCCCACCCTTGCTGCCCAAGGCTGGCTCTGAGTCCCCTCATGAACCACCACGGCCCCTCAGCTGTCTGTCTTTCTTGCTCCTGCAGCTACTACATGTTGGAAAACAGGCCCAGGAACATCTATGGCATGGTCTGCTACTCCTGCCTTCTGGCGCCCCCCAACACCAAGGAATGTGAGTACAGGCAGGACAAGAGGTCGATTTCGGGGCGGGATGGGTGACCCGAGAAGGGAGCCTGCCACAGCAGGCCGGGCTCCTCCTCTGTGCTTGCCTGGGTTGCCTGAGGCCCTGGAATCGGCCCCCGGCGCCCCAAAGTAAAATAAGCCCTGCCCTGTCCGTCTCCGGGAAAAACGAGAGGTCACGGGTGCAAAGGTATTTTGTGACGGCCGGGCGAGTTCAGTTCCCGCCCACATTCGTAATTCTTTTGGCACAAGGCCAAGGAGATGATGAATCCAGGACTCAGGCGCACCCTGGGACGCCGTTCTATCTCCCAAAGCTCCCTGGGTCGCCCGCGATTGTAACTGCGTAGCGCAGCAGAGGGGGCGGTGCCTACAGGGCTAGAAGGGAAGCCCGGAGG